TAGAAACCTTGAATTTCAGCTGGACCCAAGCTATGGCTGATGTGGGTTTCCCCTGGCATCAGCTGCTCAAAGCCGACCCTTCCAGCAGAACTGGGGAGAACCATTTCCCTGGTCAGGCTGCCACCAGCACCCAGTACAGACCCCACAGAGACTCGGGGGAACGTGGAGTGCACAGATGTGTAGGGCCATCGGAAAACCTCACTTTCCAAGGCCTTCCTATCGCGACTGAGCCTAGAAAGTTGCTCCCAAAAAAGGCAGCCCCACACCAGCTGCCCCCACCAAATGAATTTTTCACTACTCTGGGAATTAGTCCAGTTTGCTAAACCAGTAGGAAACTAACCCAGCCCTGCAATAGCTGAGGAAATAAAGTTTTATCAGTTCAAGCTGAACAAGACAGACAACTTAGCTGCCACTTCACATCCCATTGTTTATATATATTTTCTAACCCTTATCTCACTGTATCTCTTAATTTATAGGCTTCTGGAGGTAAGCACTGCACGTGCTTGTGTCGTGCTCATTGTGGCACAGCACTGCTCTTCAGCAAGCTCGCTGCAATGGAACAGAAATAAGCCCCAAAGTAAACTCAGACCTGAGAAAGGGCTGCTGTGGTTTACAGCTGTGCCCATCAGGGGAGAAACCACTCTGCTTCTTAAACACACTTGGCCGTTCAGGGCAAATACTCAACTGCACGGTTCACTTCTCCCAGCTGCAGTGCACAGTGCTTCCAACATCCACCAGAGCAAGACGTCGCAACCCCTGCTGCACACCAAACCCGTGGGTACCAGCCATCCTGTTGCCTGTCACTGCCTCAGCATTTCCGCTTGGTGAACGGCACCGGTGTCTCAAACACGCAGCGGGAGTTGACGTTTCTCTGCTACTTCATCAGACCAGCCCTCCTGCCAGGAATTAAATTGAAGCACAGGAAAAGCATCTTCTCCATAGGAAAGAAAAAAGAAAGGTGGGAACCTTCCTCTCCTTCCCCCATCTTATTACAGAGAAAATGTTCTTCTGCTTTTAAGGACAATTTAACACTAGTTAAACTATCGTTAATTTAAATCAAACAAGTCTGAAGAGGTAGAACATGCTGCACTGCTATTATAAACAGCTGAATCTTCATTTGTTCCATCTGAGGCACTACTGCCCATTTCCTAGCCAACACTGGCTGGCTGTCCAAAGTCTTTCTGTAGTTTTGAAGCTGATATTTAAGCCTACTTTGTTGGCTTTGCCACAGTGCGGTCCACTGCGGTGTCAGAGAGAGTCAAACCTTTCCATCAAACTGCTTATTTTTGCAAAGTATGGGAGAAAAATCAGAAAAAGGCCCTAGGGACCAGTATCAATAAATCTGACATCAAAGTCATCCCATTACCGGTTGATCCTCCAGCAATGAAGCACAGAATACCTGAAGGAGGAACACAACTTTGCTCTGTGTTTCACAAACCTGCGCTCCACGAGATCCCGAGATGCTGCTCTCCAGGCTTTGCTGGCAGCTCAGCCGACCCACAAGCCAGGCCAGAACAGACTCCTGCCCAGAAGCTCTACTGCCACTGCAGCACTGGCAGCACCTCTGGGCCTGCCAACTCTGCTTTGACACCAACAGCAGCTGCCACAGTTTGGTATTATTCATTTGCCTATCGCTCCCTTAAAACGCCTGCAGAAATAACACAACATCTCTCTCTTGAGCTGCCCTGATCAGTTCTTTTTATGGACCACCACTTCTACCTCAGAAAAGTAACTTCTGAGTATCTCAAATAACAAGCGAATCTTCAATGTTCAGCAACACAGAATGGATTTTATTTTATAGCCAAAGGAACAAAGTCCAAAGAGAACTATCGTTATTTTAGAGATAAGAAAACCTAAGAGATCTCTGAAAACAAGTAACCAGAGGTCACAAGTATGAGCTATTTTATGATTATACTCCCTGGGATCTACCCAGGACAGTGATGCAAGGAAACAGTCTCTGTACTCTGAAGTATCTTTCACACACAAATAAAAATAATCCTAAAAAACCCACACAAAAGAAACAAAAAGAGCAAACCATCCAACCAGCCAGGCAGGCTTCATCTGTTCTCCCTTAGACTACAGGCCACAGCCATTCATTATTTTTTCCTTCTATTAACCACGAGTGACGTCACAGTGACGTCATTAACCACGAGTGACATCACACTGACGTCACTGAGCTCCAGACACTGGTGCTGAAGGTGTTAGCAGGTGAATGAATTCATGAGATCAACAGGTCTCAATTTCAAGAGAAGCCTTTCTGAGATTCACAGCACTTCTGAGGCATAAACACAAGATTAATAAAAACATCTGTAATCCAGACTGCAAGCCTTGAGCTTTCACCTCAAATGCCCCAGTCATCAATGCACAGACATGAAGTATATGCACCTTAGCAGACTACTAATAGAAACTCATGTTATAGCTAAAAAGTTCTTTACTAACCTCTAACAGATTTTCTTTGATGAATTCATCTACTCTCTACATCAGACTATGCCAAAACATACAGCATCTGAAATGGGTGAGGGCTGACAGTGCCATGAGTCTGCATGAAATACGTCTTTTATTTTTGAGCCTGCTTCCTAATAGCTTCTAATGCACTCTCCTTGAACCTTACACACCCTTTACCACATACCCCATGATTTTAGAACCCTGCTTTCATGAGCCAAAATCCATCCAATGGATTAAGGGACTTGATTTATCCTTACTACAAGATTTTTATTTTTAAGACATGTTTTATCAAGTGCTATCCCTCTACTTTGGATGATTAGCAAGAGTGAATTCAGCAGGGTCTGTGCCACTGACTCCAAGGACTTACCTATTGCTTCAGTTATGCTACACATCCCCCCTGCTCCAGCAGGGGGATTGGACTGGATGATCTTTTGAGGTCCCTTCCAATCCCTAACGGTCTGGGATTCTGTGTGATTCTGTGATCTACTGCAATTTTGGCACTGAAGTCTATTTACTGCACTCCTGTGAGGCTCTTTAAGCGCACAAGTCTACGTAAATCTACACTCAAACTCTGAATTCCTGGAGACCTGAGGGAGATGGGTCAGAGTTAGTCTTGAGTACACTTCAACAACAAGGATAAGGATCACTCCTCAGTACAATACGGAAAGATCCTTAATATGATTTGATATAACTGCTTGAAAACGTGACTGGATTAAAAGGAACAAGACCTCAGGAAAAGTTCAGTGAGGCTTAAAAAAAAAATAAAATTTAATTGATGGCAATTTTCTAACAGTTTCTTTTCAGTTGCCAAGGAAAAACAGCTCTTAAAATCTGTCAATCTACTGCATCTACTTTAGGCCATAGAAGGGGATTGCTGATGGGCCACATTTCTTCCTAGTACGCTGCAGAAAAACTCCACTCTCCAGAATTTTGCTGAGAGTCGCTGCTACTTTTGCAAAGAACACCATATTAGGTGTATTGATGTGCTATGAAAGGCCAAGTTAAAATGTGCTACAGTATTGACTCGGTACCTCATTTGCTGCCAGTGTTTATCTGCACAAAAACCCAAAACACATTCATCCCGTGGGTTGTTCCATTTATTAATGAGCCTTACATTTCTGCTCGCTCCCATAGATGTGAAAGTACTTGAGAACTGCGTTTAGTGAAGTGATGCAGTCTAGCTCAAGTGATAGATCAAGATACTCCAGCTACTGAAGTCTAGTAGATGCTACTGAAAACTATACCTGTTATACATGAAGTGTATAGAGTTCTATAAAGCGCACTGAAAATTGGCGTAGGATCTCCAATGGCAACAGTAACAGAAAACAGCTGTCTCTTCCCCTGAAGAGCTGCTCTTGCATCTTCACAGCTCTATCCACTTCACAGCAATGTACTTACATTTCCATTTACCTGTTGACAGACATATGAAATACACACTCTGCAGCTAAGCTCACACAGTAAGATACTCTAAACTTACTGGCACCATAAAGAAGTTTTATTATCACAAGCAATAGAAAAGCAAAACACAAGAAACTTCGTTTTACCCCATTTTTAAATCACGGATTCACAAACTAAAGCAATATATCGCATAAGAGTACAGAGTGAGAAAGTAAGATCCCATCAATAACTTATGATCAATTAGGAGAAACTAATGAAAAATTTCTCATAACAAATATGAAAGAATCAAATGTAGCCAGCTACGTTAAAGTACAGTTGTGCAAAGTGAAGCATAATTATTCGGTGATCATTTTTTTTTTCATGATAGTAACCATGATAGTAACCATCCATAATTACAGAAATATTTTTCAATTTAATAATTTAATAAGGAGCTTGATGCTTAGAAACCTTCAGAAAATAGAAGAGAATTCATGTTAGCGAATAAAGCATTACCCTTGCTACAAATAAGGAATTTTAGACCAGGATTCTTAAAGACAGTGTTTTCAAAATTGTCTGCTTTCAAATGAGTTCAGACTCTTAGCTCTGCACTAATTTCTGCAGTGCTTATCCAATGCCAACATTTTCCTGCAAAATTCAGCTGTAAGAAGCTACCAAAAACACCACGTCTTCTGACATAAGAGATGTCTATACAGGCAAGTTACTACGTCCAAACGCATAGAGGCTTTTTTTGAAAAACTAGAAATTCTGGCCTGGCTGGGAAATCTTGACACATACAGCAGATCCTTATCAATGGGTATGCAACAGGAAAGAAATGGGGTCAGGCTCTATCACCTAGGAAGGGCTGCTTTAAATCAAGAATGCAAAAGGTTTCTTTTTGCAAAATCCTAGCTTCAAAATGTCAGTGATTATCACACCTAAGTTAAAAGCAAAAATAAAGCATACGAAATAACCCAAGGCACAGTTTTCAATGCAGTATATTTCTCTCTCTCCTCCATTGTAAATTCATTTATCTCTGCGTATCGGTGATCTTAGTAACTCATTTAAAGTGATCAAAACTCTCCTGCATTCCTAAGGGCAAAACGTAAATCACAGCTTCACACCAGTGTTTACCAGTGCTCCAACTGCTCACTCTTCACCACATTTTAAGACACTGAGACTCATTTGACAGGCAGGAGCTGAAATGACATCACACAGTCTATAAGCCAGCTGGAAGGGGCCATCCAGACTTTGCCCTGACGAATTTTCTCCGGCTTGAATTTAGAAGAAGCATCATAGATTACATACTGAGTGCAAAACCTCTGGTCAGAAGTACAGTCTGCATGGTATGCCACTGTGTTGATTGTTTGGGTCACATCACTGTCTGGCTTCGGCTGCCTAACCAGAATTTGTCCTCCTGCTGCTTTGACTAACTCCACAAGATCACTCTTCTGGTGATGGCTGAAAGATCCCAGAAAATAGAAGTAGCATCCATCAAACAACTTAGGCAGCTAAGTGGAAAAGAGAAAAAAAAAAAGTATAAATACAGGACTTCACAACTGAGCACACAGGAAGAAAGTGTGGAAAGGAACAATCAGTGTCTATAAAACCATCAACCAACCAGTACTGGTAGCTAGAACAGTAATTTAACATGTAAGCTCCTCAGTATAACTGCACAACCATGAAAAGCTTGCTTGCACGGTAAATTCTTGCTTATGTTTAAGTATTTTCCAGCACAACAGGGTTTAACTGTGAGCTAGGAATATTTACAGCTACTGTTACAACACATTTAATTAACTTTTCCAGTGGTAATCCAGAAAGTAACCAGAATTAACCCAGTTCAATATAGAAGCGGCCCTATATGGAAACAAGTAGTAATAAAAACAGTTGAAATAATCTGAAAGTTGAAAGACAAATAAGTTCTAAAGCTCAGCAGAGAAGGCCAAAGCAGCATCACTTCCAGTCCCATATAGCTTCCACAACTGTAACGCAGCGTTCCCTCTGACACGGTTAGAGCAACACGTTCACTACTAGAGAAAAATGACAGCTTCTGGGTGTTCGCAGTTCTGTCAGTCACCTTGCACATCATCCAATCTCTGTACAAGACCACATTAAAGTTTTACATCTGCTGCACCTGCACACGTGGCAAAGGGCAAAAGAGCATGAACCAAAGGTCATGAAGATAATCTGTCTCAGCCAATAAAACCCACCAGATGTTCTCTGTTGAGCCGGCCTCTCTGTGGGCCACCTTGGATTTCATACTTCTCTTCTTGTTCTCGAACTGAGGTTTGCAGACAGGCTCGTACCCCTACAAAAACAGCAATAAAGGCAAAGATCAGAGATCCCATGGTTTAAGAGAGGCTTGGCATGTCATTTGAGGGACTAAGGTGCTGCACTAAATTAAAAGGATTACTTACAATGTAAAACATAGCATCAAACCTTGGGTGCTTTTGCAATTTGCTTTTAAGCTTTAAAAAAATTTACAACAGTGGTTGAAGATGCATGTTAGATAGAGAGAAACAGCATCACATTAAAACCAGTGCTGCAAACACTAGGAATTATTAGCTTTTCCTCTTACCCTCTAAAGGTCAACCACTTAATGTCAAATGTCAAACTGCTGATCATTCGGAAGCTTAAAGCCAGCAAGTAGAACCAACTGCACAGCTATGAAATGGAAGCGATTGCCTGATAAAGAGTAATTACAAAGCTGTTTCCAAACAGCTATGGCCTCAAATAACAAATCAGATGGGATTTCAAGGTCTCCAAGATCAGCACAAACTGGAGATTTTTGCTAGGGCTTAACCGTGGCATTCATTTTTGTTCCCACTGCTGCATAATGAGATTGTCTTTTAGAGTCAACATGGTTTTACCCTGTTTTAAGGCTAGTTATTTTTTCCAATACAGAATGCGCTGATGCTAATGTATCGCTAACATCAGTTAAACGCACTACCTGACCTCACTTTGGAAAGAGAAATTACTGTGGTCACCCAATTCAAGGATGGAACACTTTGCCTGCAACGTACATTGTACTCATTAATAAAAATTACCCAAGAAAGAAGTTTTGCAAAGCTGATTTTGAAAACTGGCCCATGAGCATTTACAATGCTGTCAAGGTAGTAACTTTAAAGTAGCACCTCATTCCTTGCACAGTGTTTCTTATTCAAGCAACTTGCTTACACTGTGCAAATATGAAACCCACAGTATTTAAAATAATACAAACAGAACAAAATCAGAAGTAAAATGTGGGGCTTTGATCCTAAAAAGAAAGCAAGCCCATGACTATGAAGAGAAGTATCAGTGACAAAGGTACTTGGACAGCATGGCAGTAAGTAGCTAATAGATAGGAATATCTAGGGCTACAAAGATGAAGGGAGTGGAGCATCTCCCTTGTGAGGAGCGGCTGAGGGAGCTGGGTCTCTTTAGTTTGCAGAAGAGGAGACTGAGGGGAGACCTCATTCATGGTTATAAATATTTAAAGGGTGAGTGTCACGAGGATGGAGCCAGGCTCTTCTCGGTGACAAACAATGATAGGACAAGGGGTAACGGACACAAACTGGAACACAGGAGGTTCCACTGAAATTGGAGAAGAAACTTCTTCTCAGTGAGGGTGACAGAGCACTGGCCCAGGCTGCCCAGAGAGGTTGTGGAGTCTCCTTCTCTGCAGACATTCAAAACCCGCCTGGACGCCTTCCTGTGTAACCTCATCTGGGTGTTCCTGCTCCGGCAGGGGGATTGGACTGGATGAGCTTTGGAGGTCCCTTCCAATCCCTAACGTGCTGTGATCTAACCTAGAGAGATCTTGTGACCAACTGTAATTTACTGCCAGTTCATACAAACTCACAAAATGCAATGGGAATTTGTATTTTAGTTACTGAAGTCCTGCAATGTACTTACATCAAGAAAGATGAGCCTATACAGAAAATCAAACTGCCTAAATGCTACGATGACACCGATCTCCCTCCATGTTCAAGTATCAGGTTGATTATTTGCACTTGACTATTCCTTCAAGGAAAATTATCATGAAGTTGTACAAGACTACAAGGGCAACACAGTCACGTATTTTCTGGAAAAGCAACCTAAATATTCAATTGAGACTTCCTGTGCCAATTTGCCTCTAATTTACACAGCTAATTTTTCCTTCCAGGAAAATACAGATGTTAATGAGTGCTACTTACAATAAAGGAAAAAACATCTTATCCAGTCTTAAGAACAGAACCGATAAGAGCACGTTTTGTTTCAGTCTACCATCAAAAGCTCAGTTTCAAGTACTTTCACTCCAGAGCTGAGGTTTTCATACAATGAGTGCATCTCAAATTGAGCATCCAGTGCCACCATCAGTAAATGACGCAAGTTGGATATGAAAGTAGTAAAAGACTGAGTGAATACAAAAGACTATTATGTCTTTTTGCAGTGTTACTCCCCTAAAGAAATAATTAAATCATGAAGGTGACTAAGGTTGAGGGAACGTCTGTTTTAACAGAGAACACAAAATAGTTATGTCATCTGTTTTGCATGCATATGTCTCTGCCATACATGTTACACTGCCAAGTTCCTTGTCGCATGTAATGACAGCCCTCTGTGAGAGCAAGAAGAGACTCATCTACATGTGTCCTATTTTCACTGTATCTGTAAGAACCACAAGAGAAACTCGTTTCCTTGAAAACCTAGAAATATGCAAACAGAACATTTGTCAATCCAGTGTCTGTGTGATCAGTGTTCTCATCAATTTTCACTTTTCTTAACCCCCTAGAATCAGAACAGATCTGTGTCTTAACAGATTTGTGGCACAAAAGGCTACGTATTCAAGATAAGACAAAAACCCCTGAACAGAAGTTCTCAGTGCCCAAGTGTTTTACTTTAACATAAATATGCTAACAGGCAACACTGCTAGGCCTACACACATTCCTCTTTGTGAAGCAACAGATTGTGTGTGTTTTTGGTGATGGAAAAATAGTTCCTTTTCAATTCTCAAACATATTTTTCATGTACGATACAGAAGCAGAACTTTCCCTGACTCGTAGGTCTTGTCATATTTGATAAGAACAAACTTTTGGAACCACTGTGCTCAAGGACATTTCAAGCAGCCTCATCTCACACTTTGTTTACGTGCAGGCAGGAAAAGAGGAAGGAAAGTCTTTGGAATCCTCAGGCTCAGGAGAGGTTCAACACACTTCATGGCAATCTTATCATCACAACTAACCCGTAGTAAGAGTATCCCTTGGAAAGAGACAACACGGAGAGAAACAGTGAAAGGAGAGCACAGAGAAACAAGGCAAACAGCACACTGTATCATCAGAATGATGGTCTACCTGTATATTCAGAAAACTGATGCAGTTAGCAGCTCATGTTTGAGGAAGGTGCTTACAGCTCTGAGGTGAACAGTCAAGGAATATCTATCCATGGAGGAAGACTCCCTAACTAGAAAAGGGAAGCTAAAATAATTTAAGTGATGGAGACCAGTACTATCCTGTAACTGCAGACTTTATTCAGATTGATTTCTTCCCAATCTGCTCATTTCTTTTCAGTGACTCCTGCATACTAGAAAGAGACTTTGTATTTAAAAAATTAAAGGATTCACATACCATAACAATAAAAAAAAAAATCAACAAAACAAAAAAGGGAAATATCTCCCTGTTCTCGTATCTGAGATAAAATTACAGAGGGCTCAAGCTCTGTTTTTACCCAATTCATTATCCATTTGTCTAAACAAAAAGGTTCTTAATTTGCCCATTCTTCCCCCCCCCCCCACAAAACTTAGTGTCAAGTCACTAAATCACTAATTTTGTAGTATTGTGTCCAGATGCAGTGACTCCAACTGGATGCAGCAGTCTAACTGAAGTTCCCCAAGACAGCATAATCACCTTTGGTTGTGTTACAGTGCTATTTGGAAGCACCAGGTATCATTCTCCTGTGGATGGTACAACCACCACAGGACGACCTTGTGCTAAAACCCCTCAGTTTCGCACTTTACACTGGAGATAAGCACACTGTAGACCCTTCCAACTATTTTTTTTCTTTGCAGCTAGGGATTTTATTTTGACAACTGAGTGCCAAGCCGAGTTGACTCAGTAAAGCCCAGGTCCTTTTCTCGAGTAAGCATTATTAATTTTAAAGCTGCTAACATGTGTAAGTGACTGGATAACACGACAGTTCCCTTTTAATAGTCTCTCCATCCGTCTGAGTGTCACCCTGATTAAGAGGACATATAAAGGGAAATAAAACTCCAGACTGTACTCAAAGGTATATCACTCTGCTACTTTTACAGGGACATTTCCAGAAGCTCTGTTAACCTTACAGCACTCCTTTTTAAGTCAAGACGTATCGCATCCTTTGACTTCAAACAGGAGCCATGCTAAATTGATTCCCAGAACTCCTCAGATAACAGACACTCATTTCTTTGGCGCTGTATTGAAAAGCCACCAGTGAGAACTTGATGCCAAGACACAGGTCAAAGGAACATACT